GAGGCAAGTGCCTTCCTCATTTTTAACCTCCACTTCCTTGGAGTGCACATAGGACCCACTTAGCTCCCAATCCCCAGCCGTTCCTCTACATCACACCGACAGCTGCATGTGATCACACTCAAACGGAGCTTTTTTATCTCCTCTCTTAAAGCAACTCCACTTCCTTTGCTCTCTCTTTTGTCCCTCTGGGTACGAAAAGCACTTTACTTCAAAAGTCGGCGCCATGTGGATGCGCCAAATTTCAAAATAGCCTATTTCGAAATAAAATCAAAATAAGATGCGCAATTTGTACAGCACAAATTGTGTATCTTATTTCGATTTTAGAGTGCAGTGTAGACAGACCCTCTGAACCACCCAGGCATCTTCTTTTCTCCGGTACAACCATGTGTAATGGACAGGAGGAGTGCGGACCAGCACCCGGTGACTAAGGGTATGTCTACACTACCCCGCTAGTTCGAACTAGCGGGGGTAATGTAGTCATCCGCAATTGCAAATGAAGCCCGGGATTTGAATTTCCCGGGCTTCATTTGCATAAAGCCGGCCGGCGCCATTTTTAAATGCCGGCTAGTTCGAACCCCGTGCCGCGAGGAGTACGGCTAGTTTGGATTAGAAGCCTAATCCGAACTAGCTACTCTCTGCCACGTGTAGCCGCGCGGCATGGGGTTCGAACTAGCCGGCATTTAAAAATGGCGCCGGCCGGCTTTATGCAAATGAAGCCCGGGAAATTCAAATCCCGGGCTTCATTTGCAATTGTGAATGAGTACATTACCCCCGCTAGTTCAAACTAGCGGGGTAGTGTAAACATACCCAAAGGGGTTAACTCAGGTACCTAGCAAAGGTGTGGGCCGGGAGCTTGGGAGAACCAATCGAGATTGCAGGTTGAAATTTGAATTGGATATAGGTTCCCTTCCTGCTTTCTTTGGGTGGGAGAGATCAACCAGAAGTAGAGAGAGACAGAATGATTTAAACCCAGCCAGAACTACCATGCCTCCAAGGAATTCGGGGCACAGGAGTGAACTGAACAAAGAGAAAATTAGAAGTAAGAAAAGGGAAAAGTAAATCCAGTCGTGTTCAGGATAATTTTTCTTTATTTTGCAGTTTGGTTTGAACTGCTCTGTGTGATTCTATGCCTCCCCTCCCCAATCACCATCTAAGCATTGTTCCTAGAGATTTTCTCTGTTTTTTAATTTGTTTTCCTTAGTTGCTCTGTAATATCTAGCAACCAAGTGTGCTTTGTCAAGTTTATCGTTTGTTTTATAATAAAAATCATTTTTTTAAGGTGAGGATTTTGTTCTTGTGTCCTGGACGGTCTCTCTGTATGTGTCTGCAGGCCTCTGACTGAGCGGTCAGCTACCAGAGACTGCAGCTTGTTTTTCTCTTTTCTTTTTCAAGCTCTTTTGGCGCAAAAGAGCGTGGGGGAGCCTTGGGAGTGGGTTCAAGTGTTCATCCCTGGTTTTTAGGAATCAAAAGGCACTTGATGGTGGCAATGAGTCCCCAAGATCTGTGTATTAGGATTCGGGGGGGAAGTTTTTTGTGACCAGTGTCTGTAGAGGCAAGGTTTGGAAGCTCTCACCTTCTACACTCAGGTTACATCTACACAGCTTCTCCCTTCCGCAAAAGCCTATGCAAATGAAGCACTGATTAGCATATTGACCTGCTTCATTTGCATAATTAATTAGGAAAAATGAGGAAGAATGGCTCTTGCACAAGAGGGGTTTTTTGCGCAAAAAGGTGCTGTGTAAATGGCACCTCTTTGTGCAAAAATGGCTCCTAATTAATTGTGCAAATGGAGTGCAGCAATATGCTAATCTGTGCTTCATTTGCATAGGCTTCTGAGGAAGAAGGAGCCTCAGAGTGCCAGAGTGGGGAACCGCCCTGACACCATACATGAGGGGTTCAGGTGCACTGGCGTGGGAATTTTGCCTTCTGTTTAAGCAGGGCTGAGGAACCTCAGGCCCAGCGGCTGGATGAGGCCCCTCGCTTGCCTGGATCTGGCCCCCAAGGCTCAGCATTGGGAAGCCCGCGCTGGCAGGGCCCCCAGCCCAAAAAAGGTTCCCCGCCCCTGAGCTAAAGCACTGCATGCTGGTGTCTCTCGGGAAGCGGACGGTTTGATCAGGGATGGCAAATCCTTTCCCCTTGTCTCACCTTTGTTTGCCTTATACTCAATGAGCTGAACAGCACGACGCCGGCGCCTTGCTGGCTGGGGACACCCCGGCTCTGTGGGGAAGAAGAGAGACATGATGAAGCCCGGGACAGAGGAAGCTCAAAACTTTGTTGTCCATCCAGCACTCGGCTTCTATGCTGAGACTCACATGGCTCCCCCGTGGGGATGGGTTTTGTGCTGTCATGAATCACACACTGCATGTCGACAGCCCTTTCTCCACAGCCCTCCAACCACTAGACAAAGGGGAGAATCGCCACCCCCCATTGGCAGATGGCAAAGCTGAGGGGGCCCACAGTGGTGACATGACCTCCCCAAAATCTCACAAGTGGCGGAGTCAGAAACGGCATCACAGCATCCTGAATCCGGCCTCCTAGTGAAACTCCTCTAACCGACCCCACTGTCCCCAAGAGCTGGGAACAAAACCTGGTCCCCTCTAAACTCTAGGCCAAGAGTAGTTAATGATTTTTGTCAAGAGCCAAATTTCTGGGTCAAATAATAAAAAACAATTTTGATAAACAGATTTTGGGGTCCATTCCAAAGCATCTGGTGGTCCAGATTTGGCCTGTCCTCCACCGATGGGTGAGGGGGACCCTGGGGCCCAGCGATTCTAAAGGGCCCATGGCTCCCGGCTGCTCCTGGCAACCCAGGTAAGGTTTGTCAATGACTTCTGTCCCAAGGCAGCAGAACAAAGATTTGGAGGTGGAAGGTTTTGAAATCCCGGTACCAATCCCCCAAGCCACCCAGAGATCGGCCAGGCCACGAAGACAGATATTGACCGAGGAGGTAAGCGAGGTGTTTCCCATCCACGCAGCGATACCTGTTCTTTGGGGTGTTGAAATCTTAATGTTTGTTGCCAGGCTCAGTCCAGCATCTGCAAACACACCCATATTGTCCTTGCCGCTGCCAGGGGTGCACCCAATATCGCTCTCCTCCACCGTGTCCCAAATCTGTAAGAAGTGGGCATAGGCGGGGAAATCAGGATGGAGAATGGTGTTTTGTGTTTAGTCTTGGACCTCCACAGAGGTTGAATTCCCCTTGGCCTCTCTGCACGCCCTGCCATAGAATCATAGAATCATAGAGCACTGGAGGGGACCTCGAGAGGTCAGAGTCCAGTCCCCTGCCCTCGTGGCAGGACCAAATACTGTTTAGACCATCCTTGAGAGATGTCTATCTGCCCTGCTCTTAAATATCAACCGCCCTAGACAACTTATTCCAGTGTTTAACCGCCCTGACATGCAGAAAGTTTTTCCTAATGTCCAACCTAGACACCTAGATGACCTCTTGAGGTCCCTTCCAGTCCTATTATTCTATTATTAAACCTAAACCTCCCTTGCTGCAGTTTAAGCCCTTTGCTGCTTGTCCTATCCTCAGAGGCTAAGGAGAACCATTTTTTGCCCTCCTCCTTGTGACACTCTTTTAGATATCTGAAAATCGCTATCATGTCCCCTCTCAGTCTTCTCCTTTCCAAACTAAACAAGCCCAGTTCTTTCAGTCTTCCTTCACTGGTCATGTTCTCTAGACCTTTCATCATTCTTGTTGCTCTTCTCTGGACCTTCTCCAGTTTCTCCACATCTTTCTTGAAATGTGGTGCCCAGAACTGGACACAATACTCCAACTGAGGCCTAATCAGCACAGAGTAGAGCGAAAGAATGACTGCTTGCGTCTTGTTCACAACGCTCCTGTTCAAGCAGCCCAGAATCTTGTTTGCTTTTTTTTGCAACAGCATCACACTGTTGGCTCATATTTAGCTTGTGGTCCACTATGACCCCTAGATCCCTTTGTGCAGAACTCCTTCCTAGTCGCTTCCCATTCTGCATGTGTGAAACAGATTGTTCCTTCCTAAGTGCAGCACTTTGCATTTGTCCTTATTCAGCTTCATCCTATTGATCTCAGACCATTTCTCCAGTTTGTGCAGATTATTTTGAATTATGACCCTATCCTCCAGATTAGTCGCAACCCCTCCCAGCTTGGTATCCAGCCATAATGTCTTCTGTCCAGAAGGATCTCCAAGCCTTTTACCAACTGCGGAGTAGCTTTGGCTCTTTGAATGCTACAGATTAAAAGCGCTCTGTCTACAGCAGCAGTTTGGAGCGAGTCTTGGGCTGAGCAGATTGCAAGGGTGAAAAATCAGGGTGGAGGGTAGGGAGTAAGAGGCACGTACAGCACATCTCCCAGAGCGGAGCAACAGGCGGGAGTTAGCCAGGCACCCTAAAAAGAGCTGCCAAGGCAATGCTATGAAGTAGGCCAGAGCCCACCCTGCAAGTCAGCACCTGAGGTCCAGCCCATGCTGCAGCTTCAAAGCCCTGTCTCTCTGGGTATGTCTACACTACAGAGTTTTTTCGGAAAAACAGCTGTTTTTCCAAAAAAAACCTTCAGTTACGTCCACACTGCAATCGCGTTCTTCCAAAAGAAAATGGAAAGAACAGAGGGTTTTTTTTCTGACATTGGTAAACTTCTTTCTACCAGGAAGAAGCCTTTTTGCGAAAGAGCTCTTGGGAAAAAGGTGTGTGTGGAGGGGGAAGAGGGAGTTCTTTCAAAAGAAGAGGAAAGAGGAAAAAGCACAGGTGCCCTGGTGGCTACTCCGTCCATAGTAATCACAGCTGAAATGCAAGAGAGCGTCCATTCAGTGTGGACACTCTCTTTCGAAAAAGCAGATTGCTTTTTTGATGTGCTTTTGCAGGGTGGACATTCTCTTTCAGAAGAATTTTTTCCAGAAGATCTCTTCTGAAAGAAGCCTGCAGTGCTGACAGAGCCTGTGGTTGTTTTTAGGGTGCTAGGGTTACTAGCAGAGTTGAACCTGGGACTACTGGAGCTTAGCAGAGGAGCTGCTACAGCGTGAGCTATAAAGCCAGTTGGCGCTCAACTCAGGCCGTAGAGTTCCCTTGTTCTTATCTCAAGCTGTACGTGGTCTAGCCCCAGGGCCTAGCAATTCCAAAAGGCCCCAGGGCTCCCTGCTGTCACATGACCGGAGCCCTGGGCCCCTCAAGTCACTGCTGGAGCCCCGGATAGTGCACTCCAGGAAGTGATGAAGGGCCGGTGAGGGAAAACTAGCCCCAGCTCCGCCCCATCGGCCAGAGGCCCCGCCCCTTCCCACAGTGTGGTGCTGCTCCCTCTCCCCCTTGCCCAGGGGCCTGGCGATTCTCTCGGACCCCCCTGAGCGTGAGCCCCACTACCCCACATCCATTGACATGGGCACACTCCCACTTGCTGCAGAACGCTGCCTAGCTGGACCATGCAAGATCCTAGCCACCTCCAGCTGATGCAGAGGGCTTTTGCTTGATGGGCTGCATGAGGGCTGCGGGGTGCCCTCCACTACTTTAAGGTCGGCCATTTTAGGACTGAATGGCCTCAACCCGACTTTGAGTCCGAAGAAGAGCCCACTCCACACCATAGGCTGCAAGTCAACATTTCTGGCTATTACAGGAACCGTCAGGTTCCAAACAAGAGAATTTTCCTGACTACGGGAGGTCAATATTGTCTAGTAGCATTGCCAACACTTCCATGGCTTACTGGGTTGTGAGAGGACATTTGGGGGTAAATTAGAGCTAAATAACAGCCAGGACTGGTGGCTGTCAACAAACTTTATGGGACCGTAGAAAACTTGGGCACACTCGTGAAAAGTGGACACCTGGCTAACTCAAATCATCCCAGATGACGGATGTTTCTAGACGACAGAGTTCTGGATTAGAGAGGTTCAACCTACACCAAACAAATCTCAGCTCAGCACATTCCACCACAAAAAGCACACCACTGCTCCCAATCAAGGTCCCAATTTTTTCATGCCGCACCTTCTTTTGTGAAATCTTGTGCTTCTTGTTCAGAACGTAGACTGCCTTATCCACAGCCACCAGCCCAACGAGGGCTCCAGCGTCTCCTTCCACTTTGATGTCCATACTGGAAGCTGGCTTTTGGGTTTTACTGTCTGCTTTAGTGGCTCCTTTCACCACCAGCTGTTTGGAAAAGGGGGAAGCAAGGGGGTTATTTTATAGCAGAAGAAGCCATTGCTTTCTTTTCTGGGCATTAGAAAGCCAAGTAAACTTGAAGCTGATTCTAGATTCCAAAGGAATCTATTCATAGACCTTAATTTCCAGCTATCTTTCTACTGCATTGCTAAGGAACCTCTTTGTTGGGCTATTGCTCAATTGAGCTATTCTGTTCCACTAGCCCTAAAAATGACTTTTTGCTTGTTTCTTTTCTCCGGGCAGGTCTGAAAGGTGCCTTGGTCTCCCCTGGGCTAACGGAGGAGGAAAAGGAAGTCTGAACCTCAAAGGGAGGAGAAAACCTTGGAGAATAGTGGTTGTTTTATGAAAAGTAGGGGCAATTTGTATTAACGTGCCCAGACCAGAGAGAAAATCAACTTACCGTTCCCATGCACGAGTCTTGGACATCTATCCACACCGAGTCTGCTACAATCTCTGAATATCCGACGTGGTAGTACGCCATGATGCGGAATGACGGGATGAGGTCAGGCGTGATGAGCAGGGACATGGTCACCATATGCTGTCCTGCCTGCCTTGGCTTTTTTTCAGGATCTAACAGGGGAATGGAACACGTGTTCAGAGATGCATTAAAATCTACAGTGGTGGGAACTGGCTGGAAACTAGAGGACCTGGACCTTAGGTGTGGAGCTTGCCGGTAAATATTTCCAATCCCATGGAGTTTTTAAACCATGTTCGTGGGAGGGCTCCAGGAAATAGGTTGTAATAATAACAACCGAAGCCCTGTTTCTACGTCACTATGGAGTCTTCGGTGTCTGCATCGGGGCTGGGCAAAATATGGCCTGGGGGGCCAGATCCGGGCCACCAAGCCACTGGCTCCCACCCGGCTTACGCAGCTGCCTCAGTTTAAAACTCAGCCCCTGAAACAACTGACCAATAAGAACTGACCTCCATCAATCTCTAGCTCCAATTGGCTGGAAACAGACAGCCAATCAGAGCTCAGAAATTGGCCCAAGATGCTGGGGCAGTGCAAGCCTCTTCCCCCACCCCGTGCTGAAATCCATGTGGAGGGGGCAGGCTGCATTTTCAAGGGGCTGGGGCTGCAGCAGGCGGGAGCCCAGCCTGCCTTGGGATATTGCAGGCCCCTGGCCAGGAGACACTTAGGTAAACTCCTCCCAGCCAGCGCCTGCCTCTGGCACCCCAGCCCCTCCCCCAGATCACCATCCAAACCCTCTGCACCCCCTGCCCCAGGTAACAACTCCCTCCTAGACCTGGTCCCCCCACCTACATCCCTCCCCCAGGCCAGAATCCTCTCCTGGGGTATGTCTACACTACACCACTAATTCGAACTAACTTAATTCGAATTAGTTAATTCGAACTAAGCTAATTCGAACTAACGCATCTAGACCTAAAAACTAGTTCAAATTAGCGTTTTGCTAATTTGAACTAGCATGTCCACACAGAAATTGGCCCAAGATGCTGGGGCAGTGCAAGCCTCTTCCCCCACCCCGTGCTGAAATCCATGTGGAGGGGGCAGGCTGCATTTTCAAGGGGCTGGGGCTGCAGCAGGCGGGAGCCCAGCCTGCCTTGGGGTTACTGTAGGGCTGCTGGCCAGGAGACAATTAGGTAAGCGCCTCCCAGACAGAGCCTGCCTTTGGCACTCCAGCCACTCCTGCATAGGGTTTCCAGGTGTCCAGTATTGACCCGGACAGTCCAGTATTTTCACCTCCTGTCTGATAAAAAAATTCAGAAAATACTGGACACCTAAAATGTCCAGTATTTTCAGGGTTTTTTTCCCTGCCAGAAGGCAAAAATACCTGACACCTGGCAACCCTACGACACACTCAGCAACTAAGCCCAGCCCCTGAAACTCCCCCCTCCCTGCCCCCTAGACCCTAGCCCCTCACTCCTGGCTCCCCTGCTTACCTGGTCCGGCAGGGAAGTTGCCTTCTGGCTCACAAGATGGCCACCAGCAAAAAGCCTAAGCAAGTGGAAGCAATGCCTTCCCTGGGTCTTAGTGCTCAACCTATCCCTATTCTGACTCTGCACACACTGTTTTATTTATTTGATTGATTGATTGATTGATTAACTCCTCTAGGTCTCCCCTCCCTTTTTTTGCTCAACAACTTTGGTCTCAACCTTCGGCCTTCCCCCCCCCACCAGAATTTTTTCTCTGGTGTTTTTTTTGGGGGGGGAGGGTTCGGTATTTTTGGTTAAACTATCTGGCAACCCTACTCCTGCACCTCAGCTCCCTCCCCCAGGTCACCATCCAAACCCTTTGTACTCCCGTCTCAGGTCACAACTCCCTCCTAGACCTTGTACCCCCTTCTATACTCCTCCCCCAGGTCAGAATCCTCTCCTGCACCCAAACACCCTCCCAGGCCCTGCACCCAATTCCCCTGTCCCAGATCATCACCCAAGCCCTCTGCAGTATGCACTCCCTTTCCCCCTTCTCCCAGGTCACAATTCTTTTCCAAATTTTGCACCTCCTACTAGAGCCCCTTTTCCAGGCCAAATTCTCTCCTGCACCCATACTCCCTCCCTGACCCTACACCACAATCCCCTGGCCCAGGTCACAACCCCCTCCGTCACTCAAACTCCCTCTCAGACCTCACACCATCTCCTGCACCCAGTCCCTTACCTCCTGCACCCTTCTGTACCCAACTTCCATCCTAGACCCTGCACCTCCTCCACAGAAAAGTGCGGCCCTTGACCACTTTCCAAAATCTTAGAGTGGCCCCCCCCACCAAAAATTATTGCCCACCCCTGATCTAGGCTCCCTATACAATACATGGAAAGAGATGCCTAAGAAGAAGTTCCACAAAAGCCAGTACGCTGGATGGGGTGCTGTCTAACCTAGACAACAGCAGCTGCCAATGAATGAGATGTGGCCTACGTACATTTCTTTTTTTCAGAATCAGGCACCTAAATCCAGCCAGGAGGGAGCCACCTATTTCCACTTGGGATCTGCAGTCAGGAACCGTAGGTGACTAAGCCATTTCCTGCAAAAACAATGGTGGCCTACAATAAATGGTCCAGGGGGTGGTGGAAAGGCAGAGGATGAGGTAGCAGCAGCAGCAGCAATCTACCTCATAACATTTGGCACAGAAGCTAGGGAACTCTCCCAGCATATGGGAGATCCTAGCTTGTTTCCACCTTCTACCTGGTGAGATGGGTTTTAACCTTGGGCTTCTGATATGTCAGGTCAGTGTTCTAACCATTGCGGTATGGGCTATTTGTGGGTCTCTCAAACGCTACTGAAGCTGTTTCACTGTGTTGAGATAATTATGTATGCATTGGGCCTGAAAGACAGGGAGAATGACTCAGTAGTCAAGTGGCAAACTTAAGCTGTAAGAGGATGGAGCATGCTCAGTGCAAGCCAAATTTTGGTACAAAACAGCTGCCAAAATCTACAATGTCTCTATTGAGCATGTGTGAACAGATATTTATTTTTGGAACCTTATGACTTGGGCAAGTTTAGGCACAAGTTCCCAGGGATGGCAGAAGACATAGAATCATAGAATCATAGAATCATAGAATAATAGGACTGGAAGGGACCTCGAGAGGTCATCGAGTCCAGCCCCCCGCCCTCAAGGCAGGACTAAGCTCCGTCTACACCATCCCTGACAGATGTCTATCTAACCTGTTCTTAAATATCTCCAGAGAGGGAGATTCCACCACCTCCCTTGGCAATTTATTCCAATATTTGACCACCCTGACAGTTAGGAATTTTTTCCTAATGTCCAATCTAAACCTCCCCTGCTGCACTTTAAGCCCATTACTCCATGTCCTGTCCTCAGAAACCAAGAGGAACAAATTTTCTCCTTCCTCCTTATCATAGAATCATAGGACTGGAAGGGACCTCGAGAGGTCATCGAGTCCAGTCCCCTGCCCTCAGGGCGGGAGCCAGTACTGTCTAGACCATCCCTGATAGACATTTATCTAACCTACTCTTAAATATCTCCAACCGCTATCATGTCCCCCCTTAATCTTCTTTTTTCCAAACTAAACAAGCCCAGTTCATGAAGCCTGGCTTCATAGGTCATGTTCTCTAAACCTTTAATCATTCTTGTCGCTCTTCTCTGTACCCTTTCCAATTTCTCCACATCTTTCTTGAAATGTGGCGCCCAGAACTGGACACAGTACTCCAGCTGAGGCCTAACTAGTGCAGAGTAGAGCGGCAGAATGACTTCACGAGTTTTGCTTACAACACACCTGTTGATACAACCTAGAATCATATTTGCTTTTTTTGCAACAGCATCACACTGTTGACTCATATTCAACTTGTGGTCCACTATGACCCCTAGATCCCTTTCCGCCATGCTCCTTCCTAGACAGTCGCTTCCCATCTTGTATGTATGGAACTGATTGTTCCTTCCTAAGTGGAGCACTTTGCATTTCTCTTTATTAAACCTCATCCTGTTTACCTCTGACCATTTCTCTAACTTGCTAAGGTCATTTTGAATTATGTCCCTATCCTCCAAAGAAGTCGCAACCCCACCCAGTTTGGTATCATCCGCAAACTTAATAAGCGTACTCTCTATCCCAATATCTACATCATTGATGAAGATATTGAATAGTACGGGTCCCAAAACAGACCCTTGAGGAACTCCACTTGTTATCCCTTTCCAGCAGGATTTAGAACCGTTAACAACAACTCTCTGACTACGGTTATCCAGCCAATTATGCACCCACCTTATCGTGGCCCTATCTAAGTTATATTTGCCTAGTTTATCAATAAGAATATCATGCGAGACCATATCAAATGCCTTACTAAAGTCTAGGTATATGACATCCACCGCTTCTCCCTTATCCACAAGGCTCGTTATCCTATCAAAGAAAGCTATCAGATTAGTTTGGCATGACTTGTTCTTCACAAACCCATGCTGGCTATTCCCTATCACTTTATTACCTTCCAAGTGTTTGCATATGATTTCCTTAATTACCTGCTCCATTATCTTCCCTGGGACAGACGTTAAACTGACCGGTCTATAATTTCCTGGGTTGTTCTTATTCCCCTTTTTATAGATGGGCACAATATTTGCCCTTTTCCAGTCTTCTGGAATCTCCCCTGTCTGCCATGATTTTTCAAAGATCATAGCTAAAGGCTCAGATACCTCCTCTATCAGCTCCTTGAGTATCCTGGGATGCATTTCATCAGGACCTGGTGACTTGCTGACATCTAACTTTCCTAAGTGATTTTTAACTTGTTCTTTGTGTATCCTATCTTCTAAACTTACCCTCTCTCTGCTTGTATTCACTACGTTAGGCACACCTCCAGACTTCTCGGTGAAGACCGAAACAAAGAAGTCATTGAGCATCTCCGCCATTTCCAAGTTCCCTGTTACTGCTTCTCCCTCCTCACTAAGCAGTGGGCCTACCCTGTCCTTGGTCTTCCTCTTGCTTTTAATGTATTTATAAAAGGTCTTCTTGTTTCCCTTTATGCCTGTAGCTAGTTTGATCTCATTTTGTGCCTTTGCCTTTCTAATCTTGCCCCTGCATTCCCGTGTTGCTTGCCTATATTCATCCTTTGTTAGTTGTCCTAGTTTCCATTTTTTATATGACTCCTTTTTTATTTTGAGATCATGCAAGATCTCCTTGTTAAGCCAAGCTGGTCTTTTGCCATATTTTCTATCTTTCCTACACAGCGGAATTGTTTGCTTTTGGGCCCTTAACAACGTCCCTTTGAAATACTTCCAACTCTCCTCAGTTGTTTTTCCCTTCAGTCTTGCTTCCCATGGGACCTTACCTACAAGTTCTCTGAGCTTATCAAAATCTGCCTTCCTGAAATCCATAACCTCAATTGTGCTGGTCTCCCTTGCTTATGCTAATGAAGCCCGGGAAATTCAAATCCCGGGCTTCATTAGCAAGTGCGGTATGCATACATTACCCCGCTAGTTCGAACTAGCGGGGTAGTGTAGACATACCCTCCCTGACCCTACACCCCAATTTCCTGACCCAGGTCACAACCCCCCTCCTTCCCCAAACACCCCCTCCCACCCCGCCCCACCTCAACCACGTATGGGTATGTCTACACTACCCCGCTAGTTCGAACTAGCGGGGTAGTGTAGACATACCCTCCCTGACCCTACACCCCAATTTCCTGACCCAGGTCACAACCCCCCTCCTTCCCCAAACACCCCCTCACACCTCGCACCATCTCCGGCACCCCAGTCCCTTAGCCTGTGCACCCTTCTGTACCCAACCTCCCCCCTACACCCCACACTCTCTCCACAGAAAAGTGCGGCCCTTGACCACTTATCAAGGTCTTGGAGTGGCCCCCCACCAAAAATTATTGCCTGTCCCTGCTCTGGATGAAAAAGGAGAACTCATGAACCTCAAGCACAACACTTACCAGGTAGGTGAAGTACTTGATCCTGTTCTCTACACTTGGGTCATCCATTCTCAGGAGGAAACTCACAAGTAAGTTGTTTCCAGCTTTGATGTCAGTAGAGGAGACTGCTAAATGGAGATAATTTTTTGATCCTCCTTGGGTCTGATAGGGTTCGGCCACCATGGACTTACGAGCCTGGCGAGTCTCCGGGAGGACTGAATGGTCAGTTTTTACCTGGAAGTATCAGGGGAGAAAAACAGAGTTAAACTAAATTTGAGCCGGAGCTTTGGACACCTCAGTCTGGGCCAAATTCTGTTCTCCGTTACACGGGTGTAAATCCAGAGCAGGTCCAGTGGAGTTACTGCAGATTTGTGTCATTTTTGTGAAAATTGGAGTCTGGACTCTAAATCTAGCTATATATTTTAGACATGCATCTGCCTGTCTGTGTGTCTGTTTGCTCAAGAACTCCTCTTAAACCTCCTCTAGGACTACCAAATTTGGGAGGCAGCTTCCTCTTCATCTAACTTAAACAAGGTCAGGGTTAGGTTGTGACAGGAAAATGGGAGGTGCCTGGACTGGGACTGTTTTCCATAACATGGAAAGGGAGGGGGCTGTTCAGAGGGACACTATAGTGCAGAGTGACCACTGGGGGCAGCCGCACCACCAAGAGTGGCCAGCTAGGACTGGGGCTTACCATCTGGCCACCCACTGGACTGGGTAAGTGGCCTCCCTACCCCAATCTGTTCCCCCAAAACCCTTGGCTGCAGCACAGGAGTGTAGGGGGTGGGAGAGAGAGAGAGAAGGTCCTTGCTAAACAGGG